GGGGACCAACAGTTAGCATAATGGCTATGTCGCTGGACTCCCATGTTGTCAACTGAGGTTCAAGTCCCGGACCTGGTGGCTTAAACTCATGCCGGGTGCGTGTGTGTGTGTGCCCAAGATCCCAAGATCCTGAGAGGAGAATGGAGGAGAAGGGATTGCAGCATGGCCATCCCTCCTGGGGAGTGATATCTCACTTTCTGTCTCTCTGTCTCTCTCTGTCTTTCTGGTGAGTGCACATGCCCTATAGCAAAAACCTCTCAAAAAAAAAAAAAAAGAATGTGCAACAGTTGTCTGGGATCAGGTTGGGTGGGCAGAGAGCATGAGGCACCAGGATCTTTCAGCCATATCTTAACTGTGCTGCGTTTGGCTTTTCATGTTGATTGAACTGTGTTCAGCTCATCTCTCAGTGTCAATTCAAACTTATTAAACAACTTTTCTTCTAATCTACGTTCAACCATCAGCAGACTAGAAAGGAGGCTGGCTCATTTCTTTTTTCTGTCAGTCACTGAAAGATCCTGGGAACTTTGATAAGGGCTTCGATGTGGAAGACCACATAGATACGAGCAAAGCCGCAGAGGGAGAAGCGAGTGGCCTGTCTTAAATCTTAGAAGGACAGCACTATGTCTATTCAACCCACCAAACCGTGTTTCCTAAATTCTGCCTGGCGGGGTGTAGCTTTGTTCCAGGCGTAGAGAGACTTCATTGACCACCATAAACTAATATTCGTAGTTGCTTTCCCTCTCTGCCAGTCCAGTCAGCCCTCCAGACCACCGTGAGATTCTTTTTTCTAAGTTAGGAAACTGAAGCGCCAATGATAGCTATCTTGTGACTGTGACCAATTGCCTACTGAACAGTTCTTCATGTCCCACGCCTCAGCGGGAAACCACGGGATCTATAAAGTCCTGTCCAGCAGAAATGAGTCTGATTGTGGATGGCCTGGTTAACCCAGATTGTCTTCAGTGCCTGAGGGAGTTGATATTTTCTCGTTATGAAGACTTTCCCATCTAGAGAATGCTGCAAATAAAACTGCTCGGAATCGGTCTGAACTGCCTGTTTCCGTGGTAGCAGGCCTCTGTCTGGAGGATAAATCTGCACCATCTTTATTTTTTTTTTTTTTTTTTTTTTAAAGGGAGAGATTTTTGCTACATCCCTTCTCCTGCATTTCTTCTTTTGGGATTTTGGGCAGGCACACAT